AGAGGACCCAGCCATCAACTATAATAATTTTGCTGTGGTGTCCGTCAGTCTGTCAGTCAGTCTGTCTGAAGCCAACTATAACTCGAAGGGGAAAGGAGCTAGAGCTTAGCTCTCTTCGGATTCGGATAGAGCGTGGTTAGAAACCCCTTAAATGATCAAAACATGATGAAAAAGTTTTTGTTTAAATAAAAATAATTAACTTTGAAAGTGGCGCCTTAATAAAACGAGTGGGGCCCTCTCCCGGGAGGCCACCGCCCCTCTCTCTTCGCCCCTCTTCCCCAAGGCCCTTCCCGCGCCCAGATGCCTTTTTTAAGTTACTTTAATACTTTTTAATATGTTTTAATTATGTTAATTCGTTATTTAAATCATTTAAAGTGTCGGGATGGAATCTAAGTAGTTTTTTAAGGGGGGTTTCGTCTATGGCGGGTATCTGAAGCCATCAAGAAGGTATTTAGGTAGTTTTTGAAGGGGATTTCGGCTAGGGGTGGTATCTTAAAAGGCCGTCCGCGAGTCACTCGAACAGTCCCCATTATAGCTTGGCACAGTATTTTTCGACCCCCATTTTTTGATGCCATCTGATAGAGCGTGGTCGAATTAGAGGAATCGCACTAATTTGGGATTTCTAAATTATCATTTTCCTGGTTAAACAAGGCGTTAAAGTTGCCAACGTCGAAAATTTATCTCGACGACCACTTGACAGAATTGGCTGAAACTTTGTGACTAGGCCTAATTTGGGATGGGGATCATTTTTCTAATATATCGCGAAGCACGAAAATCAGCAGAACCTAGTTAAATTGCATACCCAAAACAGTTTTTGCCAAATTTCAAATTAACGGCGAGTCGGCCGCAAGCTGGAAATAGGCTAGAAAGATGCGCAAAATTTTTCTGCATCGATTGATGTATTATTTAGGTGGCGATCAGGTCGCCGTTTTCTCACAGCGAGCTTTTTATTGCTGAAAAATGGTCTGAAAATCTGACTAAAATGGAAAATATTGTAGTATTTACATATCGGAGTAGTCAAAACCCATTAAGAAATCATGCCAAGTCGATTGCAAAAAGAGCAAAAAGAAATTCAGCTTCTGAGATGGAGCTGGGATTGAACTGGCGGTGGCTCTGGATTGGCACGCCGACGCTCTACTCACTGCGCCACAGGGCTCCCAGGCGGAGGGTCCGGGTTCGATTCCTGCCCAAAACAAGCACCCCTTCAAATGTCGAATTTATTTTTGCTAATTTTTGCGTTTAGCTTGGCGTGATCGTTAAATGTGATCCCGTGGGTCAAAACATAGAAAATCGCAAAATTTTCCATTTTAGTCAGATTTTCAGACCATTTTTCAGCAATAAAAAGCTCGCTGTGAGAAAACGGCGACCTGATCGCCACCTAAATAATACATCAATCGATGCAGAAAAATTTTGCGCATCTTTCTAGCCTATTTCCAGCTTGCGGCCGACTCGCCGTTAATTTGAAATTTGGCAAAAACTGTTTTGGGTATGCAATTTAACTAGGTTCTGCTGATTTTCGTGCTTCGCGATATATTAGAAAAATGATCCCCATCCCAAATTAGGCCTAGTCACAAAGTTTCAGCCAATTCTGTCAAGTGGTCGTCGAGATAAATTTTCGACGTTGGCAACTTTAACGCCTTGTTTAACCAGGAAAATGATAATTTAGAAATCCCAAATTAGTGCGATTCCTCTAATTCGACCACGCTCTATCAGATGGCATCAAAAAATGGGGGTCGAAAAAAAAAACTGTGCCAAGCCTTGTTCGGGTCTCTCGCAAACGGCCTTTTAAACCATCGGGAAGGTATTTAGGTAGTTTTTGGAGGGGATTTCGGCTAGGGGGGGTATCTGAAGCCACCAGGAAGGTATTTAGGTAGTTTTTGAAGGGGATTTCGGCTATGGGGGGTATCTGAAGCCACCAGGAAGGTATCTAAGTAGATTAGGTATCTAAGTTTTTGCAAGATATCGAACTTTAGGTATTTGAGGTGATCAGCGTGGGTACTGATGAAAGTAGAGATTTAATGTGGTGGCGTAGAACATGGAGGGTAGCCCGAAGGCCAGCCGATTGCAGTCGCGAAGCGGCTGTAATCGGCTGGTTTGCAAACAAATCACGGACGCAAAAGTAGCGAACGAGATTGAGAAACATTGGGAAGGTATGGAGGCTACGACTTGGTGAACTTGCCGGGTGTGTGGGTTTCCTCTCTCTCTCTCTCTCTCTCTCTCTCTCTCTCTCTCTCTCTCTCTCTTTCTCTCTCTCTCTCTCTCTCTCTTTCTCTCTCTCTCTCTCACTTCCTGTTTTAGCGTGTTTAATAAATATTCATATTACTACAATGAAAACGTTTTTACAACGAAAATATTTACAGGTGTTAGTCCATTGCAGAGCGAGATAATTAAATTAAAGCTCTATATCTTTCTCGGTAGACCACTGTTAATAAGAAAAATATACCTCAGGGCTCTTTCGCAAAATCGCCCCACTTCTTGAACCCTAAGTCCAAGTATTTCCCCACGTGCACCGAAGTACACTAGCATCAATCTTTCAAGAGAAAAGTGAAGAGACATCTTTGAGGGTATAGAGACAGCGTTTTTCGAGAGCAAAAAAGAGAAAGAGCGAGTACCGCCCTGCCAGAACCCAACCTTTCCCTCGAAGAACCTATCCGAACTGTGCCATTTTCTGTTTAACGCTCTTCGGTTCCTTGGTCTATGCGGTGGGACAATTGTAAACATGAATGTTTGCCTGCTCCGTCCCTTGAGTCATCCATTTCGGCTACCGCTTTCCCGTTGCTTTGCTGTGTCTTATGAAAGACAGAAATGAATGATCGTCCCGATTCGATGTCAACTTTTTGCGGGCATTTTCCGTATTATACTTATTGTACTGCTTAAATGGTGCGGGATCCAGATTTCAGGTATCGATTTGTTGGTTAGTTTTTGGTCTTTAAAGAGATTGGAAAGGCAAGGCTGTGTGTTTTTGGCTATGCTTCATTTTGGCTCTGTAGTTTCGCTTGGCCGCGACACGCAACGCACGCGCCTATCATTCCGATATCTAATAGATTAAAGCGAGGTAAAAAAACCATAGAATTTGTCCATGGATTGGCTATGAATTTCACAACGCCCGCGGGCATTTTCGCGCGTTGCGTATCGCGGTGGGTCAAATCAGCATAAGCTGGCGGAAAATTACTATAGATTCACCTGAACGCTTTTCTGCGTCTTGATACGCAGCGCGTGTGCAGATGAATTCATTGCGTAACGCCTTTCGCAACACGCAAGATAGCGACCACGTTGCGTCTCGCGGTCGCGGCAAAAATCCATGGTCAAAATTCATATTCCTGCCTTGCCCGTGCCTTGAAATGTCGAGCTTCTGATCCCTTCAAACCACAAAATGTTTAGTTTACCTGGTGTGGATCTTCTTGATCCTCCCAATCGTCGTCTCTGTAGTTACTGAACTAACTTATGGGTCGGTTTAATCAAGATTTTCGAGATTCTTAATCCAATCATTTTTTAAAACATCCAATTTAGCTGTCTCCGATCCCCCGATGAGGACTATTCCGATCGATGCGCGGCGGCCGGGTGATCATTACGGTTTTATTGCAGTTATTTACGCATATTAAATAGTGATAAATATGGAATTCACGGTTTTTCAAAGGCCTTTACAAAGCTTCCGGATGTGCTCGTTCATAGTACACAGCGGTTACGATACCGTAACATCTGCAATGAACCTTGGTGCATATCAGGAAGTATTTTCAATTTGTATGAGAAACATGAATCGATAATACAATTCTAAAGATACGTTTCAAGCTTACGTACGTGCCCGCATCGCCATCGGTTACAACCATCGTCAACATCGGCTGCGACGCACCCGGTTCGTCGTAACGTCATCGGCCAGAATTTGGAATTTCTCAATTTTCAAAGTTCTTTTTTGGACAGTTCCTTTTAAAATATAGCGAGATTTTACTAAAAACTTTAATAAAAGGTTTTGCTTTCCGTTAATACGTATTTCTTGACCATTTTCCGATTGATCGAGCGTCAACTAGGGCTATTTTCTGCAAATTATTACTGGCCAACGAACGTAGCTTAGCAGCAACGTCTATTTCCTAAGGCAACGCCAATTTCCAGCAAAGAAGATACTGTATAAACCTCAGATCTAAACCAGCTGGTTACAAAGTCAAGATACCGCCGCCATCCAACAGTCTGCATAAACATTTACATGTGGCCAAAAAGAGAACGGACAGCTAAAGGGACGACTAGTCAAATGAGCGATTGGCGGAAATGTGTTGCGGGTGACTTTTGAAGGCGATCGACTCGATTGGGGCACCCATTAACACATGGCCAAGGATGGGGGAGCGCCACTCGCATTTCCTCCCTCAAAACAGCCCTCAACATACAGATTGCCGGGCCGTGCCTCACCCGCTGGCCACAACCAGCCGCCAACACTCTCCCATCTTTGTCTTGCCCGTATTCGTCCCTACATCCTTACGGCATTCGGGCCTCGACACGATTGAAATGCCTCCGAATCATGTCTGATTTATCCTCTTCAAATACACCCCTTAATCCGTTGAGTTTTAGCCTTGAAATTTTGTACCTAGCTTTTCATCTTTCCGTATTCCCGACTTGTCGACTTTCCGTATTTCCGTAATCAAACGTATTCCCGACTTGCCGTCGAAACCTTGACGTAAACCTTCAAAAGAATTGTTCAACGCGCTGGAAAGCGTGTTTTTGCGTGAGACGTAGGCGTCTGGGCCAAGTCGACGTAAAACGTGAATTCTAGGCTAGTTCATTTCGCTTCCTAGCTCTTCTAACGCCCAATTCCGTCTCTTTTTTTGAAGAATCCAGGCTTTATCGTTAGTTGCATCAATTGATAGATTTTGGGCTTTTGAAGGTTTACTAGATTTTTTATCTAGAATTTCAATACCCTTCTAAAAATTGAGTTTATTAGTCTCGCACGATTACATTGATGCCCTTGGCTAGAGGCTCTTGCCCCTAGCCAAGAGGTTAATTTCCCCAAGTCAACCTGGCCCTCATCCAATCGATACACGATTAACGAATTCTACAAAAAATGTTCTCCTCCTCGAGTCATTTGCATAAAAAGCTATCGCTCCCATCGTTGAGTCATTTTCTCGCCGGGGAAAGGGCACGACGCAAGCGAGTGGACCAGATGTTTACAGTTCCTCCCTTGTGGCCCCAATGGTGCCCGGTTAAGGGCCGAGTAATGTTTTGATCCAATCCGAAGATTGTGAGTCGTCGACGAGCCACAGGCTTCTCACTTTGGTTTCCCAAAAACGGCACAGTTTTTTTGGGATCTTGCTTGGACTAGTACCTAAAAATTTATTCACAGCTGACTTTATCATTCCTCGTAACTAGATTTCCGCGTTTTTGTGATTTGTGGAATTCGTATAGAAACGGGACGCTGTTTTCGGTGATTTATCGTTGCGTTTTTTCGTTTTCTATCGTAACCCTTATTCAACACTTGTTTTGGAAAAATGCGGCCGATTCTGGGTTGGCTGCTGTATCTCTTCGCCTTCTTCGATGCGTCTGATTCCAAACTCCACGAAGTCGGGCTGCGCGACCCGATGGAGACATTGAGTCATCGGGGGAAGGGATTGGGTTAGTGTTTTTTTAAAATTGCTTATTGATATTTTTCTGTTAATCTATTGCGGTCAAGTATTGTATACAATTTAAATAATCGATTTTGATAGCGTTTAACCTATTCCATTTTTAGCCAATTCGACGAAGCAGAAAATCCCGTCATTCCGCGAGATCTGGCATTGGTTCAAGGATCCCAGGGAAGTGGAATGGAAGCACACTTGGATGCATCAGTTTCATAGGTGTTCATTGACTTTATGGTAGCCTTAATGATGCAAAATCTTAGAAACTTCACGATTGATGCCACAGATTACTGCCATGGGCCACAGGGGCAAGATCGAACGATCAGGGTCAGCAGTACGATAATGAATATTGCGGCATTTGAAATGGGAACGATGCGGAATGAGGAAGCAAGGTAATAATAGGCTAGAGAGAGAGAGAGAGAGAGAGAGAGATATCGAGAGGAGGGAGGGAGAGAGTGAGAGAGAGTGAGAAAGAGAGAACTTGCATTCTTCAGGCTTTTCTACGCCCTGGCAGCTTTGTTCTACATGGTCAAACTGGATCCGGTGAAGCTAAAAATCGGGCCGTTAGATGATACGTAAGACAACGATACCTTTTGCGAGCATACAGGATCAATGTTAGGTGCGATTGCGACTGTTGGGAAAAGATTTGCAATTTCCTCGATTCGCACTCATTACCAAATGGAATCCAAATTATCAAGCACGTGGAGCCGAAACTAAAAAGTCTGGCCAAAATTGACTCGAAGCTGAATGGCATTTGTAAATGGTAAGTTTTGAAGCAGCTTCAAAAATTATCGAAAACTAATGTAAAAGTCAAATTCCGATCCTCGTTCCCGATAAATCCGATCAATCAACTAAAATTAAATTGTTGCAGGGATCCCAAGGCTTCAAAAAGTGCACCTAAGCTCGTGTCGGAACAATTTCTTCACTACGTAACAGGCCTAACAACGAAGCGACTGCCTAAGTACAAAAATGATGAAAGAACTGGCATCAATCGGTTGACCGGTAGGTTTCGTTTATCATGAGAAAAAGTTAGAAGCTTTCAACTAATTTTTAAGAAACATCCACGTCTGTTTTCAGCCTTCCAAGACGACTATCGTAAACTCGTAAACATGCAATACGTTTATGAACCGGTGGTCAGCTTGTGGCAATTGCCAGATTATGGAGGTAGCCTCTTAACTACATGAATTTTCGCTATGTGTTTAGCAGTTGGTAGCATAAAAGTACGGTATGATGGAACTCACTTTCTGATCTCCGGCAACGAGGTGTTGATTTCTCTAATTTGGACGTTTATGTATTACAATCTTCCGGGTAAGCTGAAAAGATTTTAAATTTTAGGGTTTGGCTCACAAACGTGTAATTCCAAAAATACAGAACATTTTAAGTCACACAATTTTTAGCCCAAGGCTGCTTCCGTGAACTCGACAAAGCCCACCCCTACTTTCGCCTGGTCTCCTCCAGCAAAACGATCATGAACTTTTACGGCTCCAAAGCCATTTGCATGTTCACCGGCGATGTGGTGGACTTGCACAACGACTACAGCGAGTACGACCCGGAGCTGTCGCCAAAGCGGTAGGCGAGCAGGGTTTTTGAGGATTTTGAGCGTCAAGAGCTTCCGGAACAGTAAGTGAATCATTTTCAGTTGGGCTCGGGATGTCTCCAAAACGATGCACGACTTTGGGTTCGTCGAGTCGAACGAGTGGCTGTTTGCCTACGATGTGCATAATTTTGGGAACCTCGGGTTCTATCTAGAACGACCCCGGCTGTCGGTTTTCGTGATATTTTGCATCGCCGTCCTCACCTGGCTCCGTTACAACTTCGACATGTCCATCTTGGACATTTATCGTTGCTTGTGGACCATGACGACCGCGTTTTGGCACGTTTCTGAGTTTTTATGTTTTTTTTATAGGTTGTTGGCAAATACAATACGATTGAACGACGCTAATTTTGCACGGCTGAAAACAATTTTTAGCTGGGGCTCACGACCGCGAGCCTACCGTCCGTTCCGAAAGGATCCTGTTTGCGCTAGACCGGCAAGGATTAAGAAAAGGTGAGTAGTAAGATAGAATCTTGGCTTTTACACATAAAATACAGAATTTTGGCGTAATTGAACGATTCTAAAAGCCGAAAACTTTTCCTGAGTTATGACGGCTGATTTTTCGGACTTGACGAAAATAATTGAATCCTCACGGTCAAGCTTAGGCTTTTAAGCCAACGCAGCACCGCACGCACCACTTTGGAAGTCGCCGAGGAGCTTCGGTTTGATCAGCATTATCCTCGATATCCTGAAGACCCGGAAGCCGTGCCCATTTCACAGAAAAATATTCAATGCGCCGTTTGCAACGAGGAGACCACAGTCCCGGGTACTTCCTATGTCGAGGTGAGAGTTGGCGCAAATAAAGCAGCGAAAGAGCCGCTTTAAAGGTACACTAAAGTCTCGTTGGTTTGGTTACCGGCCGGTAACCGTCCGCGGGATAGCAAACAGGGTTACGGTAGGCGCTCGCCGCGGAGCAAAACCGAACCCGCGCCACTCGCCTGAGGAAGCGCTTTGGACCACTAGGCCATGGGACAGACGGGAGAGGGGACAGGGGAGAGAGGCTATGAAGGGTTGGGGCGAGCGGCGGCAGAGAACCCAAATTCCCGGCCCCTGCGAAAATTTTTGAACGAGATTTTAGTGTACCTTTAAAAACGGAATTACGAGCCGTGATGGACGTCATTGCGTGGCGTAATTACGGACGTACTTAATTAACCTGTAGTAGAAGTACACAGAGCTTTTTTAGGTCGAATGCATCAGTTGCGGGATTTACCATGTTGACTGGGTCTGCTACCGGATGATGCTGGCCGACCGCGGGTTGGATGCTACTTGTCGTCAGGTGGGATTTGATAGAATTGACTAGCTAACTAGACCTCAAAGGCCGATAAGCTACATGACATTCCAAATTACAGTCTGAAATCGAGCATTGATACAAACGGTGGTCTGAAGCATAGGTATACGCAAAACGGAGTGGCGCGTAGCTGGAAAAATCCATTTTTAGTCCTTTAACTTTTTTCAACGCGGGCAGGCAGGAAGAAAATTTTGTTGCTCATAAAATATATTTATATTTCTTTCAGGATCAGCTGAAATACGACGAATGCTTGGCCTGGGCTTGCCCCGGCCATATCTCTTCCATTCAGCGAATTCATCAGTCCGGAGAGCGGCTGAAGGTACAATTCAGTTTTGTCCCCAATTTCCGTTGCAAATTTCAGGTCCTGAAGCTCGCCAAGCGCACGGCTTCCGGTAGATGAACAATTTAAATAGATGCGTCACAACTCCACGATTCTCGCTAATACAGAAAAACCCTTGAATCTCTATTTTCTAAAACTTGCCCGAGATTTTAATTTTTAGTATGCTTTTTTATCTGGTCCTCGTGGTTTTACGGTCGTATTACGCGATTTAAATGGTTTTCGCGCTTAAATCATGCCAGTTTGTATCAGAATTGAGCTTTAATTTATACCTCTAGTATTTTGCCTTTCTTGAACCTTGTAAATAAATATTTTTTAATATGAATCGATTTTAAAGCAAATAGATTTATTGACACAGGATAATTTGCAATGATCACACGAAATAATGCAATAATAAAAACTGATCCGGCAGGAAACATCTGAAATTTCATACGTCTCACCATTGCATTCCTTGGAACGTCC